GGTTATGTGAAATATGTACACAGGCAAAGCAGACAAGGTTACCATTTAAAACAGTTAGAACCAGAGCTAATCGACCATTGGAGCTTATACATACAGATGTTTGTGGTCCATTTGAAACCATAACACATGATGGTTATAATTATATCTTGACCATCATGGATGATTATACTCATTTCACAAAAATCTATCTAATTAAATATAAAAATGAAGTCAAAGAAAAAATCAGAAATTACATAGAAGAAACAGAGCGAGAAAGACATGAGAAAGTATCTACAATCAGATGTGACAATGGGGGTGAATATACAAGCAATGACTTCAAACAATGGTGCAAGAATAAAGGAATAAAATTAGACTTGACAGTACCATACACACCACAATTAAATGGGAAAGCTGAAAGATTAAACCGGACACTATTAGAAAAAACCAGAGCAATATTATTTGATTCAGATTTAGGAAAAGAAATGTGGGGTGAGGCTATGTATTGTGCAACATATATTTTAAATAGATTACCTACTGAAATACTTAATTACAAAACCCCTTATGAAATGTGGTATAATAAAAGACCAAACATAGCTAATATGCAGAAATTTGGTTCAATAGTATATGCAAAACAACTACATACAAATATAAAGAAACTTGATCCAAGAAGTAAGAAGCTTATAATGGTTGGATATGCTAATAATGGTTATAGATTATGGAATGAAAAAGAAAGAAAAATAGAAATAGCAAGAGATGTTGTGTTTTACGATAAGAAAATACCAGATGATAAAATGACAAGAGAACAGAAAATAAGAGAAAACTATCATGAAAAAATTATACCAGAAAATTATAATGAAATAACAATACTAGAAAATGATGAAGAAATGACACAAAATGAACAAGAAGAAAATGAGAACTATGATAATATACAAGAAGTAGAAATACATGGTGATGAACTACAAATAGAAGAGAATGATCAGACTACAGTAGAACGAGAATATGATAATGAAAATATAGAAAATGACACAATAGAAGAAATGCAAACTAAAACCAGAAGAGAAAAGAAAGTACCAAGTTATCTTCAAGATTATGTATTACTTACTTACAATGAAGTAATGAATTCCGCTGAAAGGAAACATTGGGAAAAGGCAATAAATTCGGAGAAGGAATCGTTAGAAAGTAACAATACATGGGAAATAGTAGACATAGAAAAAGCAAAAGGAAATAAAATCTTGACTAATAAATGGGTATTTTGTATAAAAGAAAATGGTTCATATAAAGCCAGACTTGTTGTTAGAGGATTTGAACAGAAAGACATTGATTATCAAGAAATATATAGTCCAGTAGTAAGTCAATCAGCATTAAAATCATTATTTGCAATAGCTGCTTCTAAAGAATATGAGATGATAACGTTTGATGTAAAAACTGCATTTTTATATGGAGAGTTAAATGAAGAAATTTTTATGAATATACCAGAAGGATATGAAAAACAATCAAATAAAGTCTGTTGCTTAAAGAAAGCATTGTATGGATTGAAGCAAGCTCCAATCACATGGAATAAGAAATTTACTGAAACAATGTTAAAACTTGGTTTGAAACCTTCAAAAACTGACCAGTGTGTATTTTCCACTAAAGATAAAACAATAATAATTGCTATTTATGTAGATGATGGATTGGCTATAAGTAAAGATAAAGCAAAGTTAATGAATATATTACATCACTTAGAGAAAGAATTTAAAATAAAAATTTATGAAAAACCTACAAACTATGTTGGATTTGAAGTGACTAAAACAAAAGAAGGAATATTACTGCATCAACAAAACTATACAAAGAGATTACTTAAAAAGTATAATATGTCTGAATCTAAACCTGCAAGTACACCAAGTAACACTGACAAGAAAAAGGAATTGAGAAATATAGATTCATCAAATTTTCCTTACAGAGAGTTGGTAGGAGGATTGCTATACTTATCTACAAGATCAAGACCAGACATAAGTCAAGCGGTAAACGAAGCAAGTAAGAAAATTGAAAATCCATCTCGAGAAGATATAATTGCTATAAAGAAAATACTAAAATATTTATATGGAACAAGAACTAAAGGGATAATGTACAAAACAGGAGGAAATATTACACAATTAGATGCATACTGTGATTCAGACTATGCAAGCTGTATTGAAACTAGACGTAGTACTACAGGGTTTGTCATAATGTTAGCTGGTGGACCTATATCGTGGTGCTCCAAGAGACAACCAATAGTTTCTCTTTCGTCAACAGAGGCGGAGTATATTGCAGCTTCAGATTGTTGTAAAGAATGTTTATATTTGAAATCATTTTTAAGTGAACTAATAGATAGTAACATAAAAGTTGTATTGAATATTGACAATCAAAGCTCAATTCAGTTGATAAAAACTGGTTCTTTTAGTAAAAGATCAAAACATATTGATGTGAGATTCTATTTTATACATGAAAATTATAAAAAAGGGATAATAGATATAAAATACTGTCCAACAAATTTACAAATAGCTGATATGTTTACAAAGCCTTTGTTTAAAGATAAATTTGACTTTCATTCTAAAAGAGTTGTAAAATAAAAAATCAGAACTTTTAAATAATAGATAAGTAAAAGAAATTTGTTAATTTAGAAATTTGTTTGTAATAAAATTGAATAGAATATAAGTATTTTTAAATTTGTTAAAATTTTAAAAATAGGAGAAGGTGTTAAGTGTGGCAACTAGATGTGAGTTGGCAACACTGAGTTTAAAAAATAAGAAGTGCTAAGAAATATAAAAAATATGGAGGACATTTTGTAATTTTGTAATAAGCTGTTTAATTAATAAAGTTAATATAGAACACATAAAAGCATATGATTATTCTCTCTTTTCCTCTGTGCCTACCTTTAACATTAACTAAATAACGAACCGCAGCATAAAAAAATTAAGGAGTTAAAAAAGCTGAGTCGCTGGAAAATTTGAAAAAAAAGCAATAAAATTGGTGCCATAAGTGAATTAATAAATAATCATAGTCTATGAAGAATTAACTTATTTTTTAACCCATGATTTGGAAGCCATAAACTTTTGATAAAGAAAATAGTTTGAATAGGATTTTCTATGTTTTAAAAAATATAGGATTTACAAAATAATAATAAAATAATGTATTTATGTAAAAAATTGTTAATATTAAAAATTAAATTTATTTTTGAGCAGAGTTATCACTAAAAAACTAAATACATTTTTGAGAGATAACGTTGGAAAATAACGAAACGCCTAAAGTTTGTAATTTGTAAAGCATTTATTTTTAAATATTAAGCGCAATTTGCGACTTGGTCAGGTTAGAAATTCAGGGCAAGATAAGCTTAATTACAGACAAATCGATGCAGTTTTACAGAAATCGGAGATAAGGCATGATTTTTACGTTGAATGATTGGACAATAATGCATATGCTTCTTTTAAACTTATCGGAAAAAAAATACCGAGTCACTAGGTATTTCAGAAAATTCCGCTATAAATTCGATCACTACTTCGCAACTATTTATTTAATAAGTGAATTCAATTCTTAATGAAAAATGCTAAAAAATCCACTTTGTCGAACTGTCGAATTTTGCTGCTGCAGCCACTTATACTCCATTCATTATAACATTAGAAAAAAAGAGTTCTATGACCCTCTTTTTTGTGCAGCAGTGCAGAACATTTTATTTTCAAGATAAATTTAAAAAATATTATTAGTTTTGTTGAAACTTTGAATGTTAGGTAGTGTGAAAGAGCTGGGCAATTTTCCATTTTTTACGATACCTCGGGATTGAGATGAGGCCAGCATTTTATAAATTCATCTTTTACTCCCAAGCCAACATGGAACTAAAACTGAAACTATCTGTCTGTTGTTTTGAGAAATTCTAATTGTAATTAGTTAGTCACAGGTTTACAGCGTAATTTTTGTAGGCCACCCGGGCCAGCACCGGCATCGTCCATATTTAACAAAATATAACAACAAAAACAAAACACAAATAAAACAATAACAACTTAATCAAGGAAACAGCAAAACAACAAGAAAGGCAGTAGCATTCACAATGGATGACAATCCCAGATTACGATTTTAACAATTATGAAAAATATTAAATAAATAATTTTAAGAATCTTAAGACTCAGATTTAAGTACATAATTTTGTGTTGAGAGAATAAATAATTATTATTAATAATAGTCTGGCAAAATTAAAAAGCTGTACTGCCGAAACGTTTGAAGGGGTTAGGCAACGTTTTTAATTTGGTAGAATTATAGTAACATGAAAATTGTGCCGAAACTATTCAACCCTGCTTCTTTAGGTTCTTTACGATGAACACTTTTTATTGTAATAGTTATTAAATTATTTAAGTTAATCATTTACTCATAAATTTGTTTAATAGATAGCTTAAATTTAAGTATACCAGCTGGTATTTAAGTAGATATGTAGCAAATTAGCCGTCAGTCTTAAGAGTAACATGATTATTGATATTTTGTCACAACGTATACCATAAAAAGAACCTTATTTAACTTCTGTCTAATGCTATAATGAATGGAGTATAGGTGGATTGTCTGAACATTGATGAAAATACGCTCTTTAGTAGCGAAAAAGTAACAAGGGTTTAAAAAATTCGACAGTTAGGTTTTGGGTTCCATGTTCCATCTCAGAGTGCCAGGGACAACGTGGATTTTTAAGAATTTTTCATTAAGAATATTTTTCAGTATAGTATTGTGAATGCAAAAATGATCAAATATAACAAAGTGAATTCTAGTTTCGAAAAGTATTTTTATTAAGAATACCAATCGACACCATCTTTAACGTAATGTCAAAATCTCACTTGTCTTAGTTCATTTCACTATCGCGTTCAACTGCAAGGTGCCAGCCATGTTTTCGTGTTCTACAGAATACGACTTTCGAATGTCACTGCTGTCAGTTTTCCATACATAATGTATCTATCTACAGAATCGCACGGCTGTACAACAGCAAAATGAGAAACAGTCAAAAGCATGTGAGGTTATCCAAAACTGAGAAATTTTATCTAACGAATTTTAACCTTAATGCGTTAAATATTACGTTGAAAATCGTTTACTTAAGTTAATTTCTGTTAATGCGCGCGTACATATTACTGTTAGAATATGATAAATTTTTACGTACTTCAATGACACTGTTATGGTTGAGTTTGACTTTGTTGCCTTGTAGTATCGGTCGACCGTCTACAAATATAGGTCTCTTGCCCTCCGATGACAAGAAGAAATCACCGCTGTTGCGAAGACGAATTGTCGCCTGTTTCCTCGACACCTTTGCCGCAGGCCCTTCGAGGCTCAGGTCAACGTCGATAGTGTGGTCACGGGTGCTGCGACCCACGGCAATCTAAACATATTATGTCAATGATGAGTAAGTATACAAAAATCCATTTAACTATAAATATCATGTTGAAACTGCATTGATTGTAACCAAATTCAAAAATATCTAAAAAAATCCTTGCCTAGATAGGTTTTTTTAAAACATGCTTTATTCCTTAGGGGAGGGGAAGAGAAACGGACGAAAAGACTCTGTGAATAACTAACCTGATTTGATTTGGTAATTTGAGTTTTCAATTTCAATCAGGAAGTATTTAAAAAAAAACCTTAGCTTCCGTAATCAAACTAGATGTCGCTACGGTACGCTCTTGATTTCTCCATGACAACCCTTCCGGTTTTCTTTTATGTTAAAAAGTAAATTAGTTTTCAAAACTCAATAAACAACTGATATTCTATTTATAATTTTTCGTATTTGTATTATATCAAAGTTTCGAACTTTTCTAATTTCAGTTTTTAATATGTTAGTTAAAAGGAACGGAAATTATTCTTTGGTCCATTCGTATCCTGCAAAAATCAAATTTTGCTAGAGTGGCCATCTAGTGGAGGTGCTTTTTTGGAATACTTCAATACTTTGAAACAACTAAGACAACAGAATTAAACTAATATTTTGGCTTAACATACAGAAGCATAATGTTAAAAAAAAAACAAATTTCAGTTAGAAATTTTAAGTGTAGTTTAAAGAGGTCAATGTGATATATTATAGACCATTAAACCATTAGGGATAAAGTAAACTAAAATAAATGTTCTAGTTTAAGAACAAAATTTCATTGCTTACACAGAACTGTGTATTTAACAAGCGTTACAGAATATGGACGAGTAGCTACATTACGTTTTTTTTTGTCTACACAAGTAATACGTTTTGATTTATAGGGAATTATCCACTGTACCCTATGATTCATTATTTCCCACTCCCCTCTGCTCTTCTTATTGAATAAATCATTATCATTAATATTTTTTTCCACTTTCTTTCCACATGTCCGAACCAACGGAACATGCTTCTGTAGAGTTATTACATAAACGCTATCTATCTTTCAGGCCAATTTTCTTATCTCTTTATTACAAATAGAATCTGCAAATATTGCTCCGCAAATTCTGTGCAACGAACGCATCTTGACTGCATTTGTATTACTTGCAGGCTTTCTCTCTCTCTCACCCAATTCTCGTTCAACCATATTTAATAGCGTTGAGATCAACAACGCATTGTATCTAGCTGCGCTTTCTGGCTCAAGTTTTTGCTGCTTAGAAATATTCTTTGATTCAACTTCAAATGTACCAAGAACGGTGTCATACCTATCTTGTTTGGTCCTTATCCACCCGTATATACATGATTAGTCTATCATTCAGTTCAGCCGAATCCAGAATATACTCCCAAAACTTCTCTAGATCTTTGGAGTTGGTAGACCCCACAGGAGTATACGCTACCACCAAAAAAGTCTGTGCCCTACTAAATCATAATCAGACCAGACCAGAGACTAAGCTAAACGATAGCAGGATACCCACCCCCATGATAGTATGATCGCCCCGTCCTATGGGACACCAGACCATTACAAGGCCATCATTCAACCACGAAGGTCTTCAGTATCACTCTTTTGCAAAGTCTCAGTCATAGATAAAACATCCAGGCATTTTTCAGTCAAAACATATATCACTTCATTCAGTACACCTCTTAAGTTACACATACCTATATGGCACTTTTACCTCCACGACTTGCCGAGCTTGGCGTGGCGTAATACGTGGCGGCTCCCATCGCAGCATGAACTAAATTTTGCACTTTACACGACGTACAAATCTCATTATTTATAAATATAATCAATTTATCACTGTTTAATATTTTACCGGCGATATGGGTACCTAGTTTATCATTTTCTACTACTTTTGCAGTTGACTACCAAGAGTAACTATGTTCTTACATCTACTTCTGTGACCGTTCTAATAATATCAATTTTATCGTGGTATACTGCAATTTCCAGCACATATTTATCAGCAGGAGCCTACCGCGTGATTTTTTCTACGTAATTTTCAGGTTAATTCTGATGTTTTTAATTGATCGTATAGTAAAACTAATCAAAGTTCATCCATTAAGTAAATTCATTTCTGGGTACACAATTTTACGCCGTAGCGTCAACTTTAAGAGTATTCACCATATTTATATACAGCAATATGAAGTTTACTATAGTCAATGATAGACTAACTCCACTAATAAGATAGTCACGGTCACGACCAGAAGCTAATAATGATAAGCAGTGATTAATCCCAAAATAAATATACAGTAAACGAGCAATATCAAAGTAAAAACAGTTTATGGATTGTCAATTTATGCTTACTTAGATAAATGACGTAAATTAACGCAGATCAAACGCAATCAATCTAAAATGTACAGTTAAACGCTGTACACAACTGTACATTTGATATTTTACTACTGCACCATTTCATATTTGATAGTTTACTCAAATGTATAATCTAGTGAACTATGCGTCAACAATATATTGTAAAAGAATAATATTTTCAATAGTTAAAATATATTTATTAGTGTCCAGGGGAAGTTCTCCATAAGTGTACATTTCTTTTACCTAAAGTTAATTCCTGTTAATACATGTTTATAAAAAATAGTATTGTTGTTTCATGTTTAAATTTAAATATTTATTAACACTTTAATATGTAGTAAACAAACTGTAGGTATATCGACAGAAATCGGTCATTAACCTTTGAGTAGGAAAAGTATAGTGATCATAAGTAGTAACGTATTTATACTAATACACATACATATAATATTATAAAGAGCAAATATTTGTTTGTTTGTATTGAATAGGATTCGAAACAATTGGACCGATTTTGAAAATTTTTTCACATACGGGAATGGTACGCGAGTGGGGTGATATAGGTAATAATTTAGGTAGGCGCATTCGCCGGAAAACATCTGGTACCAGATAAAACCAGATTTTTACCTATCTAAATATTGCATTTTTATTGCATTAATTTGCATTTAAAAACCCGTATATTACTCATATCCGTTTTCATATCAAGATCCACATTAATATCATCCCTGGATATAAGTTATGTGTAAGTAATAAATTTATTGTACATTAGCTGTGTTACCGCGACTAAGCTCGCGTAAATTATAGCCTATGCCACCTGCGAATAATGTAGCTTCTCCTAGGTGAAAGAATTTTTAATATCAGACCAGTATTTCTGAAGATGTAGGGGACATACAAAGTAAGACTTAGAAAGTACCTTGTTATAATATCAGTACGGATTTTTAACATTTTACCAGCAACACACTGCAATGAACAATCAACGTACGTACCTACCTCACTCTTAGAGTAAATTACAGTTTTGTTATACACGCACACGCAGCAATTAAACGCTATCGAAATCGGAAAACCATTAAATTGTTACGTGAGATTATACCTAAACGATCGGTTCAAATACAACAGAAATTAAAGTCAGATATGCCGCTACGCGCATCATTTTTATATATAAAATGCTTTGTCCTTTTCCGCTTTACCTCAAAAACAGGATTTTTATTTTTAGAAAAGTAATAGCATAAGCATTTATACAAATACCTATATTTTAATGTACTCACAATCAGATCATATCCATATTATTAAAGTGCTTAAATCATAATTATTCCGCCATCTTGGGTGGTCCGCCATATTGGATATAAAGTGAAGATTTTTTTTTGTATTTTTCTAAGCAAACATTTTCATATAATATCCATCATGATGATATATAAATACCCGTACTCAAAATTTCAGCTTAATCGGTCGGTAAAGGACAACTGTTTTAAAATTCAGTTACTATAATTAACGGCTGTTTGTAACATTCATCAGAAAGAGTAAGAAACATTATATAATTAAAATATAAATTTATTTTGTTCACATTTTTTTCTGTCTGTACAACTAAAGGACATTAATGTACACATTGTGGGTACTTATAATTGTACAATATTATAATATGAGATAATATTGTTGTTGACACATTAATTCATGTGATAAGTGTTATCTACATTCCATAGGTACTTTAGTGATATCTGGCGATGCCCGTGTTTATTCCTAGTATGCCAGCACGATGTTAAATAATGTAACGCTTATTTGTATAATATGAATAAATTATTTAAATATTAAGTGAGGATAGCGAGGTCATGCCACGATACCAGCAGTGTTTCGTACGTTTCAGCAGACGGTTGACAACGCCGAGTATATTATAGAGAAAACACTGTGTGAGATTGTACTAGTACATTAAAAAGTTCAACGTGCTGAAATATTAGGTAGGTAAAGATGTGAAAAAAACAATATTCATCGAATATGATTTTTACTGTACTAAAATACATCCGCCCACATATCTGTTATGAATGATACATAGGTACTGTATTGAAGTGTTATTCCAATTTGGATCTTTCAGTTAAGTATTATTTGATATAAAATCATTGGCAATTTCCTCAAACACTGTAAACTAAATCTTAGAATCGCACTTAAGAAATACACATTCACGACAAAATATTTTTTGTATGGCGCATTCTTTGAATTTATTTTTAAAATCAACAAATTTATGTTAAAAATAAATTCAATTGGAAAATATTGTGTTCATATGTAAACGGAATGGATCACATGAACTTATTGAGTACAACTACCATTAGGTTAGATCAACAGGTAACAAAACAACGCACCACTTCAGCCAAGCGAGCGAGCGAGCGAGCGTAGCAAACACATTATCTCTAATATTACGTATATTCCAGTAAATACTGCAGTTAATAAGTACCTTTTTTGCCGAGTTGGGACTTTATTTATCATTATATAATATGTAAGGACCGTGCTTTACGTCGTGCCTCGGTCCTCTTTGATTATCTACCCTTCTAGGAGATCCAGATTTAGATAGAAAGATATCCTACACTTTGACATGTAAGAATAATTAATTAGGTACTCATGAATTCAAAGTCTATTTCGTGATCAGCGAAACGTTAAGTTCAGATGGTTAAGACGGAAAATTCTAGTTAATCCAACGAGGCAATCA